TTTAATAAGTAGTTAACAACCGCTTAAAAAAATAACTGAATGCCATTGGAGGATAGAAGAAATTATAAGAATATTAACATCACATATAATTATTCAAATGAGTTTAGGTTTTTATAAAAATACTAATATAAAATAATCTATTCAAAATTTTAGATGAGCTCTCTCTCTCTCAGTATAAATCAAAGCATTCGGTTATGCATAAAAGCCGGCTGGGTGGCGTGGTTGGTTTGTCGCTGGCCTCTGCACCGAAGGTTGCAGGCTCGACACCGAACCAAGTCGATGGATTTTCATGATACAGAAAATAGACAGCGGCCATGTCGTATGGTTATACGGTATGTAAAAGATCCCTAGAGTGTCTGTTTGGCTTGAGTGCTCTCGGCAAAATGAAATCCTAGTATAGGTTCGCATCGTCAGAGCTCGGGTGCCTCCCTCTAAGAAGGAAACTGGGTGTCAAAATTACCAGCGACGATTGATATCTGCCTATATGGTGCCGCACTAAAAAGAGATACCAGCTTCCGAGGTATGGGTTAAGTTTACAATGGTAAAACACCAATTTGCAGCCCATTAGAAATATAAAAAAAAGTTATGCAGAGAGACCAGAGATTCAAATGACCAGATAAGTTAAAATTCAATAATTTTTAAGTCAACTATCGCTGTGAGAAAAGAAATCTAATAATATAAATTTTATTAAAAAAAATTACCCTGTTAAAGTTATTAAAAAACATATTTTTTTTTAATTGATGAGTTACTTAATGAGTTGTAATTTGTGTGAAAAAAAGGCATTCACGTGCACTTCACGAGAAGTATTATTTATGTTGAATGAACGACGATTTGGTTTTGACCACATAATTTCACGTGAAAGGGAAATTCTTAATGAAACTTATTTACAAAAAATAATTACCACGTCGATAATAAGTCAAATGTAAGCTGCTGGTGGCCGCGGTAGCCGAGTGGTATAGGTATCGGACCGTGGCTTGTCTTGTCACGAGTTCGAGCCCAGTACCACTAAAGACCCGCCGTGTAGGGCAGCGATGAACGTTAAATCTGTCGAGAGCTGAAACGTCCTCCCGTTGGTGTGGTAGTAAGGAGAGGGGGGTGCCAGCTCAGGTGTCATCCACGTCACTTGACCATGGTTCAAAATTACGTGGTCCGTCGCCAAAAGCCCTCGTGTTGCTGAACAGTGCGACGTTAATATTCAATCAATCATGTAAGCTGCTGTTTCTATTTTTGGATTTTGAAAGTCATAACAGCTCCAATAACGTTAAAAAGACATGACTATGAATGTGCTCGTAAACATACTGGTTTAGTATTGAGTAAACTCATTTCGACAATTCCATTTCTCTTTCTTCATTTTTTATCGAAAATATCGGGAAAATTACGGGTAAATAAAAATATTGAGCTTTTTTTGAGTAAGAGTAGACAAACTAGAGAGGAAAAAGTTTTTACAGCTTACAGCTCTTTACAGCTTTTTTCCAATTCCTATATTAATTCACAATCTCCTTATATATATCTTGTTCAAATTTTCAATCGTTAATAAAAATACATTTTAAAACCCTCAATTGAGTTGAAATTTTATATACACGATTACTTTGGATGCCAATATGGTAATTTAATGATAATATATAAAAATTAATTGATTCAAACTAATTATTCAAAGAATTACAGATACAGAGCCCCGTTAGCAATATTTTTGGTAACTTAGCGACCCTTTTGGAGACTTGTGTCAAAATTTGAAAAGGTTTTTTTCCTCACATTTAAAAGCGCTCATTTGAGCTGAAATTTTCTATACACAATTGTTTTGTTTGACAATACGATATAATTTAATTATAATTAATTAAAATTAATTGAATGAAACTAATTATTTAAAGAATAACAAATACAGTCACGTTAGTTTCATTTTTAACGACTTGAGTCAAAACTTTAAAAGATTTTTTTTTCACGCTTTAAAAGCATTCAGTTGAACTGAAATTTTATATACACGACTGTTTTGGATGACAATATGATACTTTAATGATAATTAAGGGGACATAGTACGATTTACGCAAAAAAAATTTATTTAAAGAGTTTAAAAACTATTTTTGTTGCCTCCTATGTGTGTATACTATGTAAAACAGTTTTAGTGCTCAAAATTTCAGAAAAAACTATCCATTTAATTTTTTAAGAAAAAAAACTTAAAATTTGTGAAGTGAATTTAAAATTTATTAAAATATTCTCATATGAAATTTACAATACTCAAACTATGGATAAAAAAAAAGATGGTTGGGTTTTGCGATAACGAAATTTGGGATTTTCAATACTTTTTTTTTTTTATGAACGCTTATTGAAAATTTTTTAAAAAAATGTTAAATTCTGGTTAAATTTTTTTAAAAATAAATATTGCTTTGATTCAAAATTGCATCCAACTTTTTTTTTTGTACTTTTGGGAAAAAAAAATTAAAAGCATTACCTGCCCTTAGCTTTAAAAATAAAGAAAACTAGTTTTTTTCTTTCTCAGATTAGAGTCTTTTAAATTTTTGGTTTGCCATGGGATGTGAAAAAAAACGGGTAAAAACTTAAATTCTGGATAAGTTTAGACTTTCAAATTTTGAAGTTATAGAAAAGTATATAAAAAAAAAATTTAGGCTAAAAAAAATTTTATTTGATTTTTTGACCGATTTTTGTCATTGAATCTATGTTCCCCTTTAAAAATTTTCCCCTTAAAATTTGATTCTGTCAAAATATATACATTTTATACTAATTTTAACTTTTAATAAAAGTAACTAAAATAAAAAATTTTTCTGATTTAGTTGGGAAATTTACTTTTTAAAAAAAATTTTATTACTTGTTTTAGGTTTTAGAAATCTTTTTATATATATTATATATATATATATATATATATATATAATTTTTAAAATTTTTATATATATATATTATATATATATAAAAGTAAACCCCCCACTTTATAAAATCTGTGAACTATTAGACCACCAGTTGAGTAGATATTCGGTAAGAATGGTTTTGCGGAAATCTACTTCTAGGGGAGTTCACGTGGTATACAGAGTCGCTACAGACAAAAAAAAACCCCTTTTAGAACAATTAGACTTGCAGACTTGGAATTTTGCAAGCATGTTTCTTTCAAGGACCAGAGATACGCTAAAATAGTGTTTAGGTGAATGACTAAAAGGAAAGGAGAGGGGAAAAAGGACTCATATGGAAAAAAATTGGCCCCAAAGAAATAATTGCAAGATCGTCACAAACTTGGCATGAATTACATGTGGGGGAGATATTCAAATGATTAGAAAAGCGCTGATTGCGCAATGCAAAAAACCTGGGGCGTTTAACGTCGTTCTCCGGGGGTATAAAACAGGAAACAAAGCTTGTTTAGTTGCTGAATCATTACAAAAAAAGAGCTGGGTAGAAAAAGCTGAGTTTACGCCTTTTTCGAAGACAATATAAACACTGTCGCAGTTTGGGGGAAAATCTCGACATGATGGAAGCTGTGGGGGTCAGCTGGGCGAGTCCGTCAATTGGCCCTCTGAATGTGTAGAGGGTTGTTGGGGCAGTGGATCGAGCGTGTCTTTTAACGAAGACCAGACTCGGACGCCCTCGACAGACCGTCATCAGAAGACCGCCATATCGAAAGAAATGTCGCGTGGCCAACTGCTTCATCTGCCTCCGGGCACAGATATCCCCTTCTCAAAAGGGCCCCCTATGTCTTTTGAACCATCAAGCCGTCTGGCTGAAAAATTTGGATCGCGGTCCCGTGTGCTGCCCTTGACGCCCATCCATCGACGCCTCCGTTCAGGTGGTGCCACGCACGAGGAAACTGGACTGCAGCGGAATGGAACCGGTCGTCTTTAGCGACGAACCCAGTTTTAAATCTCAGCGTATGAAATCTGTTCGTGTGAGAACCCCGTGGTGAACGCCTAATCCTGCCTTTGTTTTACAGCAACACCCCGCTCCCAGCTGGTGTGATGGTATGGGTGCCATTGCAAATTTCCCGGTCCCCCCCTGTATTGATCCATGCCCATGACAGCCCAGCGGGGATGTCCGCCCATATGTGTTTCCACTCATGTGGCCCCCCAGAACCTTTTTTCAACAAGACAATGCTGGGCCCCCGGCGGGATGTCGAAAGACTTCTCCCCTGTTCAGATTTGTCTGTCCACAGTTTGTCCCCAATCCCCCTATCTGGGATCATTTGGGGGCAGTTGGGCACCCCACGATTTGAACAAACTGGAGGCAAGGTTACAGCAAATATGGGAAAAGAAATGTCTCAAGACATCTACAGAACTTTATGCCTCAATGCCCGATCGTATCGCATCGTGCATTCGCCTAGAAGGGTTCAACAGGGTATAAAAACCTTTCTTTTGCCTTTTTCTTGAAAGAAAGATTTTCCCCTTTTAATTTTTTCAAAAATCAATGCCTTTTAAAAAGTTTTAATATTTTTTTAAGTTTGGTTTTTTTATAAAAAACAGTGTGAAGGCACCTTACTTTCAAGTTTCAATTTTTTTATTTTTAAACTATATTCGCCGTATAACCCCCCCTTTTTTTACGGGGTAACACTTTAAAAATAAAATTTCAGATATGTTTTGAAGACATTTATTTGAGGTATTATTCCATGCTTTAAAAAAAGTACTAGAATACTCTCTTCTAGAACTACGACGCTCTGAAGTTCATAAAGAATGTCAATTCTTTTAAATAAACATTATTTCGATGTATGTAGAAGTCTGTTTTTTATCTATTCTCATCTTTTTCAATTCCTACTATTAGTTCACTCTCTCTCCCTATACATATTTATATATATATATATGTATTTTGTTCAAATTTTCAATCGTTAATAAAATACTTTCTATTCCTCCAATCCAGTTCAAATACATTTTTTTAAAATTTTTGCGTGTGACCGATTTTAAATATTTTTTTTTAAAAATTAATTATGCTTTAAAATTTAAAAAAATGAATAGATATAACAAAAAAAAATTTCAACAGCACATATAGAAAGGAAAATCGTTCGTTGTATCTCTGAAGCGCAATGGATAGCGCGTTGGACTTTAAATCCAAAGGTTATAGGTTCAAATCCCACGTGCAATGGCCTAATTTCTAAAAATGTGATTTCTTTTTTACTTTACTATTTTATTAGAATAATTAAATTTAATGAATGAATAAATAGTAACTATAACAAGAATAATAGTCCAACCCCCTATATAAAAAGGAAAATAAAAAAATTGTCAGGAAAATTGTTTTCTATTTTTGTCATTAATATTGTGATTCTGTTTTTGTATGGTGGCCGGACCTAGGGTCAAAAGGGATCGGATCGTGGCTGGCTTGTCCGGTTCGAGCCCAGACCACTAAAAACCCTCCTGGGGGGGGATCAAATCTGTCGAGCTCAAACGTCCTCCCCCGGGTGGGGAGGGGTTTGCAGAGGGGTGCCAGTTCAGGGGGCGTCCCCGTCATTTATCATGCCTCAAAAAGACAAAGGGACGTCATCAAAAGCCCCCGTGTAGCTGAACAGTGCGACGTTAATATTCCTCACTCGTGTCATATGTAATATACATCCCGGGGGCGCACACAAAGGGGGGGCGGGGGCGGCCCCCAAACCCTTAATTTTTTTTCCGTTGATTAAATTCTAAGTAATATAGTACGTAAAATTTTTTTTAAATATTTTTTTTTTAATGGATTAATTTTTTTTAATTAATGCTAATTATTTATTCAATACATAGGTCTATAATCAATCGAATAAAAAGAAGGGGGTTTGGGGGAGTTCGGACCCCTTCTTATGTGCCCACTGTTTTAAAATAAATCCTTTTTAAAAACATTTTTTTATGATTGGACTGCAAAAATTTTCCTTTTAAATATTTGTGTCACAAAACTGTCTTCTAGGGACACATGGAAAGATGAAATTCTATATACATAAATAAAACAAAATAGAATACTTGTGTGCGTAAAAAGTAAGCATATCGCATACTTGATCAAATCTTAGATGCTCTTCAGTATGTATTTTAGGAAAAAAATATATATCGTTTAAAAATGTTTGTCCATCGCTGATTTATTTTTATTTGTTTACGTGAATTTGTTTTTAGTTTATGAGAGGATAAAAAAGATTTCCAGTTTCAACTGGCCTTGATATCTTAATGTTATAGGTTTAACGGCATTGATAAGACACTTATTGGTTGAGTTTCTTATGTAAGGATCATGAAGGAAAAGAGCGGTTTAGAGCAAAACTAAAATTGAGTAATCTAAAATTAATTTTTGGAAAACAATTTAAATAATTACTAGTTAATTAACTATAGCTTCAGAGACTGGCTGCGTTTGGAATAATGAATAATTTTTTCGGTTTTTAGTATCAGTTGAATTAGAGTATATGTCGCAGGGAAATGATGAAACTAGGGATTTCATTAAATCCTAAGGAAAATGATCAATTCCCGCAAGATATTAAAATAGCATCTCTTTGAGATCATTTCCCTGAAGTAAGTAAGTGATTTGATCAAATTCCCGAACTGTTTTTGTGAAATGATGAAATGAACAAATCAGCATTTGTACAGCTCTGTTTTCGCTTGTAACCACTCCCTTTTATCTCCCCACCCTTCTCCTCGTCCGTGCCGGGCTTCTGACGTGACGCACCAAAACAAAATGACCAAAATATCATTTTTAGTTTTATTCAATTGTATTCTTTGCATTATTATCTTTCGATTGATATATCACTTTCGTATGCCTGAAAATTAGAAACGGAATAAAACTTAATTTGAAAAATGAAAACAAACAAATTAGGGAATTCGACCATGCCCTCTTTATAGATAAAAAGCCTTTTGATAGTAAAAAAAACTATTTTAAAAAAGGGAAATAATAACTCAAGTTTTTACAAATAAAGCAGGGTATTTTTGAAGTGCTACATTATAATGTGTATAATTTTTTTAAAAAATGTGTTTGAAATTCTACTACAAATAACTTTACTTTTTAAAAAAATACCAGCTTTATTATCTAATTATTTTATCGATTAATTTTGAATAAATAATTTGTAATTCAATGATTATTGTTGTATTAATTACTCTACTTTTAATAATGCACCCTATTTTCTAAATATTAACACTTCTAAACTCTTGACAATATTATTTCATCATTTCATTGAAATAGGTTAGGGACTGGATCAAATCACTTACTTTTCTCAGGGAAATCACCTTACAGAGTTCTTATTTTAACATCCGCGAATTGATCATCTGTCTTAGGGATTTGATGAAATCCCTAATTCTGCTAATTTCTCTGCGACATATACATATAAAACAGTTTTAATGGTATTATGACAAAAAAAAAAAGTTTTAATGCAATTTTTTTTGGTAAAAAATAAAGAAAGAATTACGTGTTTTTAAAATACTCCTTTTATGAAAAATGCTTCTGTAATAATATTTTGCTTATATGTAGCTTAGACTTCTATGCCCAAGTCTAACTATGTTTTTGAAAAATTCACAAATTGTTTTATGTGTTACAATCAATGGAAAAAATAACGTTTTCGAAGTTATATTTCTTTTGGCGCGTTAGGGAAAAATGATGAGAGTAAATTTTTACGATGCGAGACAAAAATCGACACCCTGCATTTTAGGTTTTATACACATAGCGCTATCTAGTGTAGAAGAACTATACTACAAAGCTGATAAAATTAATTGACCTTAATAATCCACACGTTAAAAATGGACAAATATTTTAAATTCAATTTATCTTTAATTGGAAATAACTTATCAGTTTGACAATATTCTTCTTACAAATTAATTTTTTAAATTTCTAGTGGCTTTTTTTTAAATGTTCGAATTTTATTACGCAATATTGCAATGTAATGTAATACTAATGATAATAAAAGTTATCCACCGTATGTTTCAACTATTTCTAACAAGATAGATATTTTGATAATTAAAAATTACACTCTTCTGTAAAATATTTCCTTTTAACAAAATGTTACCAGCTTTTTCTTCCTTTAGAGACAGTTAAATGGAAATTTTTAGTTAAAAACAATATAAAATAAATTTATTTAGTGATAAGAACATTTCGTACTTCATTATTTGTTTTTGTACACTTAATTAAGTCACTTACTGATATGAAAAGGGGAAAAAAAGAGAGAATTAGACCTTCTATATGTGAATGTGATTTGTTTTGAACTTTTTATAAAAATTATATATTTTTTTTAAATAAAAAAAAAATGTTACTGCACCATATTTATTATTTTTCAATTCGATTTAATTTATTATTTTAAAATAGCAGTGTCATTCTTTTTTTTAAGGAATTCAAGCTATTTTTCAGTCAATTTCCGCTTGAGCTGTTTACACAGAAAAATAATAGTTGTATTTAAGAAAAAAAAATTAATAAACTAGAAATTTTTCTCTTTGACAAATTAAATTTTTTAGAATTTGTATTTACTTTTTTTCAAAGCTGAAAACTTGCATATACACAAAAAGCCTTTATACATCCTGTTCAAAATGATAAATTCTACAGTACCGTAAATGTGTTTTTTAACTATCGCATTTTTAAATAAAACCATTTATTTTTTATGTAAAAGGACCGAAGATGTATTATGCTTCTATGGCTGAATATTTCACACTATCAACTAGACATAACTATCACAACAGACCTCGTAATTCTGAACTTCTTTCAAATGCGAGGTTGCCACCTGTACTGGCACCCCCTTTTCAAACGGGAGGAATTTAATCCACAACTCTTGTTATTTGGCATTTCTGCATCAAAACTTCCAGTTGCATTATCCCAATTGTGGATACGTAACGTAAAAATTTAAATTTTTTTCAAATAAATTATTTTAATTATTTATTTTAACACTATTCTGAAAATTAATGTTTTAAATAAATGGAAAATTTAGATTTTTTTTTTATTAAAAACAAGTGATTTCTGATCAAGAATATATATTTACTGAAACAATTGATTGTAATATAATGAATTTATCCTCCACAAATGACAGCTATTAATGTAAAAAAGACAGTTTTTCGTTATTAAACATCAGCTCAAGATAATATTTTTGTTGGAATAAATATATATTTATTTTAAATTCAGTATTTTTTTAAACATGAAACGGTTATTGCTATTGCCAAATAGTTTTATTTTTGTAGCTCACTGTGTATTTATAGCCTTAAATTATTATAATGTCCTTGAAATTTTAATATTTTTTTTCATTAAGCATTTCCTTGTAGTTGCTTCTGAGAACGAGTTATTAAAGAATCAAAATGGCTTATGGCGATAGATAAATATTGTTTGCTTATTAATTCGTTCTTCGCAGAAACTTGAATATGAAATTATTAATCAATAAATATCAATATGTATACGTTGCATGCTAAAAATTGTCAATTTTTTTAATTATTAAGAAATAATTTTATTTTGATATTTAAATAAACTTTATTTAACTAGATATTGCGTTATAATAAAACTTTCAATGTATATATATATATATATATATATATATATCTTCTGTTTTTAGTGTCGTTTTTTCTACAAACGTAGGATAACGTGAAGGATAAAATTTAGGAAGATTTTTATCTTGTTATGCCAAAGAAATATAACTTCTTACGTGCGTACATAAAAACACACACACTTCTTTTTTTTTTAAAATTTATTTACTTTGATATAATAAAATATACATGAATCCAATTCTAAATTATACATTTTAAAAATTTCTGTTCATTCTTTTGTAGAAGTCCTGGTTGCATATAAGCAAAATATAATTAGTATTCATAAAAGGAGAATGTTTTGCAAATATGTAATTTTTTCTTCATTTTTCACGAAAAAATTGCATTTACATAGTTATTTATTGTAATAATATTGGAAAAACCGTTTTATATGAGAAATAAAAATTAAACTGACAGTGAGTTGTATAAAATTATCCATTTATACTCAAAACCCATTTCTAGTGGATCTCTACTCAACAAAATAAGCATGCTTGCCAAATTTCAAATCTAAGTCCAAAAAATGAATTTTTGATGTGTAACGTCTTTCTTCTTGGTTGCTGGATATTTGTTGGGAGTGATTTCGTGAAAAGGGACGGATGTCTGTAACAGGATGTGACGTAAGCGCGCGCTACTTGATTTGACCAATGAAAGTGC